AGGCTGAGGCAGGAGGATCGCTTGAGCCCAGGAGTTTGAGGTTGCTGTGAGCTAGGCTGACACCATTGCACTCATTCTAGCCTGGGCAACAAAGTGAGACTCTGTCTCAAAAAAATAAAAAAAGGTAATACAAGTAAATGTTTTTAAAAAAAGGCAAAAAGATAAAACAAAAAGTCAAAGTCTTCACTCCGTCCCCCACCTACCCCAGAGCCTCTAAGGTAACCCTGTCGGCCTCCGTTGCTCCCCTGAGAAGAGTTTATCACACTCCAGCACACACACCTAAGTAAGGTGCACACAGGTCATCAGAGCAAGTACGTCACTCCGCCCGGCTTCTTTCACTTAATAATATAGTTTTCCCCCAAACAGTACATATAGATACACACCATTCTTTTATCATTCCTGCAGCACTGCACTCTGTGGAGAGTCTAAAATTTAGTTAACCAGCCTCTTTTTTTTTTTTTTTTTGCATTCTTTGGAATTATTTGGTCACAGGAAGTTAACCAATCTCTATTGCTGAATTATCTTCTCTTGCACACACTACAGCGAGCATCCTCACACACGTGACTCGGTGCCCTTTCACAAGGAAACCATGGAATTGCTGAGTCAAAGGAATTTGCACTCGAAACCTTGATAGATGTTGTCAATCACTCGCTCAAAGGTTGTCCCGATGTATACTTCCACCAATGCTGTGTGTATGCGTGCCTGCTTCCCCAAATCTGAGCCAATATTGAGCTCATCAGCCTTTTATATAACCATTATATATTATATTATTACATCGTATCAGTCAGGGCTCTCCAGAGAGACAGAAAGAGTGCGGAGGAGAGAGAGAGAGAGAGAGAGAGAGAGAGAGAGAGAGAGAAAGTTTGTAGGAAGGAATTGCCTTACACAACTTTAAACAACTGTGGGCTGGGAAGTCCACAATCTGTAGGGCCAGCCAGAAGGCTGGAAACTGAGGCAGGGGCTGATACTGTGCTCTTGAGGCAGAATTTCTTCATCTGTTTACTCAGGGCGACCTCAGTTTTGCTCTTAAAACCTGGGTGGGTGAGGCCCACCCAGATTACTGAAGACTTAACTGTAGATGTTAACCATGTCTACAAAATGCCTTCACAGCAACATCTAGATTAGTGTTTAATTGAGTAACTGGACTCTAGCCCAGCCGAGTTGACACATAAAACTAACCATATACACACACACCCCCAAAAAAATGCCTCTTCACATCTTTTATTCATTTTTCTATTGACGTTTTCTTCTGGGAGCTCTTTATATTACAAGGGATGTTAACCTTTGGTCTGTCATATGTCTTGCAAATATTTTTCCTGTGTCATTTCTTTTTTGACTTTGTTTCTGGAACCTTCCATCAACCAAAGCATTATTATTATTTCCATGCAGCAGATCGGTCGATCTTTTTCTTTATAGCATCTGAATTTCCCGTCTTGTTAAGAAGGTCACTCAGAGCCACTTTAGGAGCCATGGTAACCGCCCCATTCATCTAGGTTTTCTAAATGCTGCCCCTGAATGATGGTGTCATGGGAAAGCAGGGTACTTAGACAGCATTAGCCTGGCTCCCGCCAAGAGGCCTGCATGAAGTGTGATTTAATGTTAGGCCCCTGCTTTTATACAGGGTCGATACAACAGCCGTAGGAAAAGCTTCACATCTTCTGCAAAATTGCAATTGCCCATTTTGTTATTCAGCGGCCCTTGCAGAAGAATCCACGTTAACAGATTCCTTGTAACGGCACATGCCAGGAGAAACACTCGTGGATGCAAAGGACTCAGGCAAAAAGTCAGACAAAAAAGCACCACACACCCCCTGGCTTCCCACTCTGTCTTGACTGCCAGGAAACCTAGAACTCCACGCATGCTCAAGTGAGACAATGACCCAGTCTCGCTCTGGGGCGGGAGATTTGCCGCCCAAGCCCCGGCACGCACACACCTCCCTTTGTGCCTTTTCTCACGCATGACCTTTAAGTGCCCGCTTGCAGGTGTGGGTTTTGCTGTCCCTTTGGAAGTGGATGAGGCACAAATACAGACATGAGCAAAATGACTGAAGAAGAGAGAACGAAGACGCTTGTCTAAAGGTGGTTCTGTCGGAACCACAATTTATTAACGTGTTTGTAAATGCCGAGGGAAACATGAAGAGGGAAGGCACGGTGAAAAATGTGGACCTGAGATTGACATCTGGCTTCTCCAAGCAGTGAAACTGGGAGCCAAGCTAGAGGAATTTCAGGAAAAGTCCCAGCAGTTGTTGAGTGCAGAGAGACACTCTATGGCGTATCTAAGGCAATGATTTTATGCAGATCCACCCCGGACATTTGGGGGTCAGGACGAGCTTATGAATGGAGGCCCACATACCATGTGTTGCAATATCTTAACATTCCAAATCAAGCTGGAAAAAAAAAAACCTATTAAATCAAGTGTGTCTGATCTTCCCACCTGGATAAAATATCTTCCTACCAACCTGGAAGCCAGATTAGAATGTGGGATTCTCAGAAGTTCCACACCAAAATGTGTTAATAGCAGCCTAAGGGACAGCCAGCCTCCTGTCCGCAGACCCCTGTCCACAAGCTGCTCCCCTTCTCCCCACCGTCCTGCACAGCCCAATCCCCAAGGCTCTCCGGAGAACGCACGTGGGCACCTCAGGCTTCACATCCAAGCTCTGTCCACAGCCCCTGAGCACGGCCACCCCTTGGCCACGCCTCTGACCTGGGTATGAGACACTGACAGTGAGCTTGGAGCAAGTGTAGTCCATTGGGGGGATGGCCTTTAGCCGTGTGGACCCCTTGCTTCACGGGCCCAAACAGAGGAGGGGCAGGGCTAACGGAGGTCGTGGATTTGGGGGCAATAATTCAGCAATACTTGTAAATCGATCAGCTCTGAGCTCTCTGTCACGGCCCAGACAAAAAGCCCTCGGAGTCTTTGCCAACAGATTCCTGATTCTCCTGCCCCTGCCTGGAGCCAGGCTGCAGCTGAGTCCGAAACGCTGACCCCTGTGTGCACCCCTGGGCCAGTCCCCGCCGAACCAGCAAAGGGTCCCAGGAAGACAGACTGTTTCCTATGATGAGAGGAGAAAGGGATGGGAACTCTTCGCCCTAGAAGGAAAAAGGATAGAAAGGAAAATATTTAAAATCTGTCATATCCTTTAGGAAATGAATGAGGTGAACACGGCTGAACTACCCCTCACATTCTGGAATATTCTCTCCAGAAAGCACTGCTTAAAGCCTGAGGAAGTTAGATTAGAGATATAAATTATCAAAGCCACTGCACATAACAAACAAATGGAGCTCTTTAGCCCTGGAGGAAATAAAAGCTGAATAGCATTTGGTTCTGGAGGTGGGGGTGGGGTAGCCACAGTCAGGGGACGTCCAAAGTCAACATCAGGGACAAGCTCATGTTCAACACGCTCTGATACCGATTCCCGTCAATGCCGCTGTCAGAGCCGAACAGTGGCTGGGGCTAAGGCCCTGCCAATCTCTACGCTTTTATGTTTTGGTTTGTTGTTTGTTTTCTTTTACGTCTTTATGTTTTTGCAAGTCCAGCTGAAGTTTGTGCCTCCAACAACCTTGAATGCTTGTCTTTGGAAAGTGGCTGCTGTCTACTTTGAAACTCAGGCATTTAACCACTCATCCATCCATCCATCCGTTCGTTCATCCGTTCGTTCATCCACTCATTGAGGGTACCAGCCTCTGGATACATGTAGAGTTCTTCTTTGTTGTTTATGATTTTCTTTCAACTATTTCACCTGAACTTCCAGGCTGACTCTCACCCCTACTTGCTCCCAGGACAGACGTCCTAGAGGAAAGTGGCCTTCCCCTCTTTCCAAAAATCTACTTGTCTTTGAAATGCTGTCCTCCCCAGGGCCTCGTCCCAAGGCCAAGTGTGAATGTTCTGCCAGATATCCTGATTTTGTTTTATTCTGTAGACTGGTTTTTGTGGACTTTCCCACACAGGAGATCTATGGACACCATGTTAGTCCTGTTCTTCCAAGGAGTAGATGTCAAAAGGGAATTAAATGTGCAAAGATTTTATTGGGGGAAAATATCTATGAGAGAAAGGGGGTGGGAGCCAGGGAGGCCATCGGACCATGATGCAGAGCGACCCACGTGAAGGAGAGAGGGCAGGAACGTTGAGTGGAATTGTCCTAGATCACCATGTGATCCCGGAAAGTTCCACAAGGCTATAAGGGAGTTCTCAAGCTGAAGTTCACTGCCAAAGAGGGTCCTGTGTCTCCAAGCCTGCCTCAGTGTCCCTGCCACATGCGCCGTTGGTGGAATCCATGGAACATACCGTCGAGCAACAACACAATAATGGGATTCTGGCCAGCGTGGCGGCTCACGCCTGTAATCCTAGCACTCTGGGAGGCTGAGGCATGAGGATCGCTTGAGGTCAGGAGTTCAAGACCAGCCTGAGCAAGAGCAAGACCTTACTTATCTATACTAAAAATAAAACAAATCAGCCAGGCGTCATGGCAAGCACCTGTAGTCCCAGCTCCTGAGGCAGGAGGATGGCTTGAGCCCAGGAGTTAAAGGTTACAGTGAGCTGAGATGACCCCACCGCACTCTACCCAGGGCAACAGAATGAGACTCTTAATTAAATAAACAATGGCTTTCAGAGCATAGCAGTGGGGACCCTCAGTCACTTACACCCCGTGGTTGGAAATCTGTGAGGCACAGTCTCATGGTCACCTCAGACATTCATTGACTTGGGTTGGAACAAGACTTCCTCTGTGCCATCGCACCTTTTCAGTGACTTCAGTAGAAAATCAAGAGTTTGGTGTGTTTGTGTGTCTGTATGTGTGTCTATGTCTGAGCCTGACTTTGAGTGTAGGTGTGTTTGTATGTATATGTGTGTATATGTCTCTGTGTCTATGTATATGTGTGTGTACATGTGTTTGTCTGTGAGTATATGTGTGTCTGTGTACATGTGCACACATGTGCTTAGAAAGGACCCACGCAGGGACATCCCACCGTGGGGCTCACCCCTCTCCCTCTGCTCCCTTGCAGACCATCCTGGTGGGCGACAGTGGCGTGGGGAAGACATCTCTGCTGGTTCAGTTCGACCAGGGCAAGTTCATCCCGGGCTCCTTCTCGGCCACCGTGGGCATCGGATTCACAGTAAGCACCCGCTGGCAGTGCCAGCCCTGGGCCCGGCCCTGGCATGCCTCTGTCAGGAAGGAAACAGGTGGACGTTCACACTGGCTCATTCAAGGCGCTTCGGCGAGCCCATTCCCCAAGGTGTGGGAG